AACTCTAAAACAAAGAGTAAGGAATAGAAATGAGGATAAGACAACAGCAAATCTACGAAACCGAGTCCGGATTACAATTAAACAACAACAAGGAATACCGGAATCGCTATACTCCCACTACAACCACTTGTCCTGTTTTCTTGGTCTACCCCATAAACGACCTCCAGATCAGCAGCTGAGTCATCCTCCAACTCATCACCATCACCTTCTTCATTCCTGCAATCTTTACCCTTACTTTGTTCCCCCAACACATTTGAGCTACCAAGCTCATCTATATCCTAAATTTTATGGCCTCGACATATAACTTTTGAAGTTCTCACAATTACCACCTGTTTTTCGCACACTCTCACTAGAAAAGACCATCCCTCTGCATTCCAGATTCACCACTGAATTTATGGAATCCATACATTTAGTAGAAACCTTAATTTTTGCACACACAAAGGTTATCGGTTGACTCATATCTTCTTCAAGACACAGCACCTGCCCCCAGACCCCACCTATCTTTCTGAGATTGGAACTATTCCACAGATGTAATGGAATACCATAGCAGCTAATCCATACACATCTTTCCTGCTCCAGTACCTGCCCAGGTTTTCCTTCAGTAATATCTTCGCACCAATCCGAAATCAGCTCCTTAATAGCTGATATTTTCAAAGCCCTCTCTTCCTTTGATTTGAATGTGATGACCACATCTCTTCCCCCACTTTCCCTCACCATGATGTCCTCCATTCCAATTGCTGCCAGTTCCTTCTTCAAGCTAACATCAACATATTGAGCCTTAAATCTTACAATAATACTCTCAAACAACCATCCATTTCCTACCTCCTCTGCCTTGAGAAAGATGCTACCTATTTCCCCTTTCGTTTTTCCTTCCACAGCCCCTATATATGATCTCTTATCTTTAATGCCACGATCCCCAACTCTAACCTCCACCTTGAACTGCATTAGCCACTAGTCTCCGTACTTGGTTATTCAATGGTAGCCTTACATCGTCAACAACTCCCTTTTCTTTCCCAAACTCTGTGAGTTTTACCTGTAGTGATCGGTCATCCACCCACAGTCCATGTGCCTTCTGTACAGCTATTTTGGCTGTCACATAGCAGTCAAATCTCACAAAGACAAACCTTGTGTTAGTTACCCTTCGTCTCTTTTGCGGTATGAACACATCTTTCACCACTCCAAACTTTATAAATAGAGTGAACAGACCCTTAGGATTCATCGATGCTGGTAGGTTATCCACAAACACAGTGAACACTCTTGCACTTTCTCTCGACCTCTATGGCCCCGCTCTTCTTCTAACCCTCACAACTGGTATCCACCCACCCACCATGTTCAAAGTGATAACAACTTTTTATTTGTTGTACACATTAGCCCCTTCAACTTTTTATGTGTTAGATGTGTTATTTTGTGATAAAAATTATAAATTGACAAATTTATGGCTGCATTCCTAAAATAAAATTACAAACTAATTTGGTTATGAACAGTAAGGCGTAAATGTTATGAATTATTTGTAGTGACAAATGTTATGAACTAGTTTTGATAAAAAAAAGTTATGACATGCAATGTTTGTTATCAAATTTTATGATTATTTTACGTAAGACAAGTGTTAGAGAATTACAATTTTTGATTCACAAATTCACTTACATTGTAGTAAGGGAGTTGGACTATATATCATTAGATGTGTAGTAAATTAAAAGTAGCAATCTATTGTTAGAAATGGTAGAAAAATTCTGGGTAAAACCAGAATTTTTTCTCAAGTTTGGTCTATTTTTTAGGTGGGCCCTGAGTGTCGATTTACTCGGGTCAAAGTGGTAACGCGTTCTATGCCGCGTTGTGATTCACGTGGTATATTTGGTTGCTCAAAACCATTACCGAGTGAATAGGAAATTGAAGCCAAAGTGTGCTCCATGGAAATGGAGTTTTGGTGGAAATTCCTTAAGGTTGTAAATTGGCTTGTCCCACATTGATTTGGTGGGAAGTTTTGAAAAGGTTTATAAGGCTTGGGTGAGATACTTGGGGTGTGCCCCAAGAGGTACCCAAGTGTTTTAGAGGGAGAGGTTATGGGTAAAATGGGCTAGACCCATCAGACCGAAAAATCACCACACACGCGCGCGCACATTCAAATTAAACTGGTTTGGATTTATTGTTCATCCAAACAGGGTCCTTCCCGTTTTCAAACAGAATTAAACTGGTTTGGATTTATTGCTCATCCAAACAGAGCCCTTCCCGTTTTTATCTGTTTGAATTATTAGCCCAACAGATTCAAATCTGTTTAAAATTGAAACTAACAGGTTTCATACCTGTTCAATTCAAAACCAAAAGCCACATACTTCAATCATTAGGATCATTTCCCTCCATCTTTGTTGTTGACGTGGCATTCTATAAAATTAATAGTATTTGGATAAATAGCTAAAATAAAGAGCATGGTTAGAGTAAAAACATAAAACAGTTGATAGGCAAAATAAAATATATGCTTTATAGTAATATTTAGATAGGTAAAATGCCTACTACCGTTGGAGATGCTCTTCGTTTTGCATAAGCTAAAATGAGATATTCTGGTTAAAATAGTCATAAAAAGATAAAATAGGTTTTTTAATCTAGACAAAATATCACATCAAAACTATAATCATTATTTTATTTTATTTTTTTTATAAAAGTCAAAAAAATCAAAAAGCTTATCTCTAACGAGGTTTTTTATTCACAAGTTAAAATAGTCAAATAGCTAAAAAATCAAAAATTCAACCCACATCCCAAACGAACCGCGAAAGGTTTTTAATACTGGGTTTTGCTTCGTTTCGGTACAATTTTGTTGGTTTTTGATTTGCAGGTTTGAGGGTTGTTTTTGTGGCTTTTTCTGATGTTCGTGAAATGATTTATGTTGGGAGTTTGACTATGGGTTTGAGGGATTTGCATGTTTTTGGCTTGAGTTCTGTTTGGTTTCGTCTCAGTAGAATTGGGTTTGGTTTTGTTCATTTGGGTAAATTTAAAGTTACTTGAACAGTCATGCAATTGAAGATATCTTATGAATTTTATGTTTTTAATTTTGGATATGTGGAGATTCCACCCTTCTCTGTGAGTGCACTAGTGCTCTGTTCTCATTTAATAACTAATGGTTTCTGTGAATCTATGACTGTCTCCTCTAGAATAACAAGCAAGAAGAAGAAAGAAAGAAGGAAAGAAAGAAAGAAAGAAAGGTAGGGAGGAAGGGAGGGAGGGAGTGAGTGGGTCCGTTGCCGCGGGAAGAAAAATATTTTACGTTTTCATACACTACAAAAGGCACCACACCCTTTGCACTAAAGAGGATTTAGGCTCCTGACAAACACAAAAGGACAAAGGGATTTTTATGAAATTTTAAAAATAATAATTTTTTTTTTAAAATGGAAAAGTATTTAATTATCAGTAGTATTACATGTATCAATTGTTATATCAATTAATATACTAATATATATTATTATTTCAAAATTATGAACCCCACATGTTATACAAACTATAAAGACTCAAATTTTCTAAAATTATGATATATCATGTACGCTAATTAATATATCAATCGGTGAGTATTGTTTTATTCTTTATTTTTTTTAATAAAATCAAAATATTTCAAAACGAGTAAGCAAAATGGTAGGTGCAACTAAGAAAGCATTATCTTGATTCCTTGCTGTCGCTGGTCCGTTCATTTGGGGATGCTTCTTTTTCACACATGATTTATTTTATCAATAATGTTAAAAATACATAAATAAAACATAGCCTGTGTTTGGCAAGGGCTTTTTCAGGTTTTTTTGGCTATTTTAGCCACAAAAAATAAAATAGGCTATTTTAGCCATAACAAACAAAACATCACATCCAACCTATAATCATTACATTCTTCTCTCACAAAAAAAGTCAAAAAAGCTAAAAAGTCAAAAAGTTCTTCCCAAACCAAGCTTTTTAGCCCAGGCTAAAATAGTCAAAAAAGTCAAAAAGCTAAAAAGCTAACCCACTTCCCAAACGGAGGCATAGGATGAGATAGAATTTTCTTACAAGAAATGGGTCTCACATATGGGTCCTACCTATTGTAAGAGAGTTGTATTCCGTTATGTATTTGGTGTGGAAAATTATTTAATAATTCCAGAATGTCACGTGGATATATTTCAAACCAATCATTAATTACTTAACCCGATATTATTCCCTCATTTTCAACATAAATTATGGCCTCTATCTCTCTCTACCAATCAAAATTCGATAGAACACCATGTGTCTATACTATGAGAATACTGACTAATCACCCATTTAGTTTTTATGCAGATAAACTTACTTTATCTTATTTCATAATATTAATTTCAAAATTTTTAATTCTAAAATTAATTTTTAAACTAAAGATACTGTCGAATCAAATAATTTTATTTGAAAGTTAATTTTCAAACCAAATAATATAATTTGAAAGTTGATTTATGAAAAAAAAATGTGCAGTAAGAGTAAAAAAACTCTCATTCATTTGCTATATTTGTCTGAAATTTCCCAATTTCCCCTTCATTCAAAAAACAGAAACAGAGCGTCGGCAGTTTTCAAATCTGTTGTCCGTATGTATTCCCCATTTTTATCGAGGAATTCATGTGGGTGCGCAGGATGAGATCCCCTCCTTGCATCATTTCTTACTTCCAGGGTCATTGGTCCACTTTTAGACCCAATTTTGATAATCCGAATCGTTCATATTTTAAGATTTGTTCAATATATCATACCTGTAAAAAATCAAGTTGATCCGATATAAAAAACCATGTGTTCGGAAAAATCGAACTAAAAACTATTTTTTAAAAAAATTTAATAAACAATTTTCGGAACACATGCTTTCTGATATTCGATCAACTTAATTTTTTGCAGATATGATATACTGAATAAATCTTAAAATATGAACTGTTCGAATTATCAAAATTGGACATAAAAGTGGGCCCAATGACCTGCAAGTAGAAAATGCAAAAAGGGAGTGCAAGGAGGGGATCTTGACTCGCGCAGGGTATGAAGCAGCAAGTTGAGAGAGAGTTTTCATTATGATGACTCATGGTTGAAAAGGAACAACAGTACTCTGTTATTGAAGGCTTTTAAAGGTCACTTTTGTAGCTATGGCGGCGGCGCACTTTAGCAGTGGAAGGAGGATGGTGGATGTGGTGCGCCTGTGGGTATTGGTGTTCACGGTACTGCTACCATGGTGTTATGGTGGCAGAGTCAGCATTTCTAGTCAAACGCTTGATGTTCACAAGTACTTGGAGCGCTTGAACAAGCCTCCCCTCAAATCCATCAAGGTCCTCTTTCCACACACCTTTTCTTCTTCTTCTTCTTCTTCTTCTCTCTCTCTCTATATATATGTATTGGTATTACATTGATGTTTCTTGTTAAAAAACAGAGCCCAGATGGAGATATAATAGATTGTGTTCATGTCTCTCACCAGCCAGCTTTGGACCATCCTTTTCTCAAGAACCACACCATTCAGGTAACCTCCTCCTCCTCCTCTCTCTCTCTCTGCACGTGTGTTGGGTTTCTAATGATGTAAAAAGTGGCCGCTTAGACTGTGTTTTTATAATGGATTTGGGTAGAGATTCCGAAAAAAAAAAAAAAATTGTGAATAAAATGTTACTATATTTTATTCTTATTTTCTCCTTTCATTTTTAAATCTCTACTAAAATTTATGATTAAAAAACAACCTTAGGTATTTTGATAAGGGCCAGATTTAGCATTCATATTCCTATTTATGAAGAAATTGTTTCTGTGACTTGAATTCGAGCCAACAGAGACACTAATTGCAAGCCTTACCATTTGAGCTAACGCTTATCCATCTCTAATGGTGTGCTTGTGGTAATAATAGATGAGGCCAAATTACCACCCAGAAGGGCTATTTGATGTGAACAAGGTGTCCATTCCAAAGTCTAATGAAGGAATTTCAAAGCCACTTACTCAGTTATGGCACTTGAATGGAAAGTGCCCTGAAGGAACTATTCCAATCAGAAGAACAAAAAAGGAGGATGTACTTAGAGCTAGTTCTATCAAGAGTTTTGGAAAGAAGCAACATAGAACCATCCCTGAACCACCAAGGAATGCTCAACCTGACCTCATCAATCAAGGTGGTCACCAGGTACGCCCACTATTACATTTTTTCATTTATAATTAAAAAAAAAAAAGAATACTTTTTTTCTTCAGTTAATGATTTTTATTAATGTGTTTTGGGTTTTGTTATTTTGGAGTTGTTTTAGCATGCAATAGCTTATGTTGAAGGAGACAAGTTCTATGGAGCAAAGGGAACTATGAATGTTTGGGAACCCAGAATCCAGCAGCCTAATGAATTCAGCTTGTCTCAACTCTGGATCTTGGGAGGTTCTTTTGCTTCAGACCTTAACAGCATTGAAGCTGGTTGGCAGGTACTTTTACATTAATTATGATTGTATTGTAGATTTTCTTGTTATTCTTGCCTTTTTTTTCTTATTATAGAGTTAATTACACTTCACATCCTTATATTTTTACCAACAATTCATTTTGGTCATTTTATTTTTATTTGTGACAATTAACCATTTATAATTTAAGGCAATGTCACTTTCCCGTCTATTTGAAGTTAATGAGACTAAAGAAATATGACTTGTGAATCACACATTTTCTCTTCTCATTAGATTAGCATCTCTGTATTTTTTTCTTCAAAATTTCACTTTGTCATTTTGTTTTCACCAAAATTGTAGTTTGGTGCATCTAATTTTAATTTTTCTCAAAAAAGTTTCACATGTGGGACACAGATTAATTTCTTTCAACCTAATTAGTACCAGACAACAAAGATATATTATAATTGGACTGAAATGTAAGAATTAACTGGCAAAATTGAATGTAAATGGGGCGAAGTGTCATATTTGTAAAAGTAAAACGGTGTTAAATGTAATTTATCCTTTTAAATTTTGTATTGCTAGTGGTGCTGTGTATTAAAAAAAAATGATATGGAAGTCTAATTTTTAAATCCATTTTTAACACTCACTTATGTGTAAAATAGATGATTTAGGTGATTGACTGATGATTGGAGAAAACATGATGAAAGAGTTGTCTAGATATTCTTATAGATTACCACATCATTTAATTTGAACAGTGGATCTAACTTTTGGATTGTATTACTACTAAAAAAAAAAGAGAGGATAAATTATAAATACATTTTTTGAAATTTGCTTAAAATACGAATTATTCTCTGAAAGCCTAAAAATTGCATCCCGTCTTTTGACCTTTCTAATTTCATAACAAAGAGTCGTTTTATTAATAAATCAACAATTCAATTAATAGTTTTTAATGATATCAGAAATATATTTCAATTAATAATTTAGTTAATTTTTTTATTATAGGAGGGTAGTTATGAACTTTATTTTTTCAGTTAATTTTGTTAAACAAAATTTTTTGGAAGGGCCATTTGTAATTTTTTAAAACGCAGGACAATCCGTATTTTAAACAAGTATGTATTTGTAATTCACCCAAAGAAAAAAAAAAAAAAAAGTTTAGTCTGGTGATCCAGATTTGGGATCCAGATTTGTGCAATGAATTAGAGTGTATGGTGGAGATTGAATGAGTATATTATGAGATCCATATGTAGAATGAATTTGGATCACATATTGATATATTTGAGTAATTTTTTGGATAAAATTTCTAAATTTGTAGTGTTACTAAAAAAAAAATAAAAAATAAATGTATCATTGAGAAATATGACCAACACCATACGCTTTTATTTTTATTTGCACATTTTCTGTGTTTGTCTCTTTTCCCTTTGTGTTGCACTTCCATTCTCATTTTGCTCCCTCTTCTCTGTGAGAAAAAAAAAAAACAGGTCAGCCCAGACTTATATGGAGATAACAACACCAGACTTTTCACCTACTGGACTGTGAGTCTTCATTTTTTTCCCCAACATTCTTCTCTCAAGATTAATCTTTTGTTCATAGTTTTACCATATATGTATACTCACATTGGTTTAAAACTCACACCATAGGGGGCCCTGCACAATTTTTGATAAATCTTTTTTTTTTTTTCTTTTTTTTTTTGGAGCTCTTTTAACATTTTTCAAAAAAAAAAACACTCTCTACAACTTTAATTGTATATTTCATAACACTCACACAATCTTTTCAATTAAACACATTAGTAAACTTGCCCTTCTAATAATATATGGCCTCGTTTGAGAAATTGACTATTTTAGTATACTAAAATATTTATGTTTGAGAAAAAGGTTGGATTTTTTTATCATTAGATGTGATATTTGTGAGAGAAAAAATGAAATGATTATAAGTTTAATGTGATATTTTATCATATTGAATATTTTAGTCTATTTTGTCTTTTTTTAGATTTTAGCTCAAAAAACTAAAAAAATCCTTTCCCAAACACCCCCAGTTGATCAAAATCATATACCTCACTAAGAGATTGAGGTTAGCCTTTATTCAATGCAAAACTATGCTTTTACAGTATTACGACCTTTGATGTACTAAAAAAAGCTTATTATTAACTTATTATATCTATTAAGAGTCAAATAATTGCCCAAACTGTCGTCAAGAGCACATAAAACTTATTATATCTATCAAAATCTTACTTGTTTGGACTTTATGGATCATATCTACAAGGTTGAAATGCAAGGGGTGTACAAGACTTTGATGCATTGGAATCCAAAGGAGGCAAACAACAAGGCTCCAAACTCTGAGACTAGAGTGAGGTAACCAAAGAAACAAAACTTGAGAGCCTAAGATATAGATTTTAAGGATATCCCATAAGCCTACTTGGATGATCCCTATCAACATTGACTCTTCCTTCTTGTTTCTCCTATTATTCTTCTATTTTTATTTGTATATCTTAATAGTAAGAAAGGAAAATTCATGTAACTTGAAATTCTGTATTGTCATTCAATAATTAGTCCAAACTTTAAAAGAGGCTCTTAATTAACACTTGAAACATTGTACCATTTCATATTCTCATTTGTTGCCAAGGGCACACTTGTGTCAAAGCTAATTTATGACAATTGAGTTATATTGGTTTGATGCAATTTTATAAACGTGTTTGTAATTTTTGTTGGGAGTTATGTCATGCACTTTTTGTTTACATGTAGTTATGAGATAAAATTATTAAAATAAATTGGAAAAAAATTGAATACTATAAAATGATGAGGAGAAATTTTATAATTTTTTGCGTTTAGATTATGCTAATTACATATGCTTGATTTGGAATAAATGTTGAGTGCAATGGTGACGCCATCGTACATGGTGTTAGAAATCAGATTTAAGTGCACTTCGCTTATAATCTATGAAGTCAACCATGTAGCCCCTGCCGGTGGAGGATTTTGACATAAAGGGAGCAATATTGAGTTGATGCCTTGCCAAGATCTATCACAATACAATCAAAGTTGATTTTCATTTGGTTGTGGAACAACTAAACTAAAGATTAGTGTGCTGCCACAGTCTTATATATTAGAATTATACTCAAGTTAACGGATCAATTCTTTTTTGGTTTTCTATTATTTTTTATTATTAATTTGATTTTCTATTTGAATTTATGAACATGATAATCATTTTATAATGTAAAATGTGATCACATTGCCTCTAAAAAAAATGAGAGCAAAATTATACCAAAATACACACAAAAGAAACAGATAAAGAGGATAGATACCGAAATGTGAGAGAAGAGAGTGAAATAATATAAAATTTATATATATATATATACATATTGTTGACTTTTTGGCTTTCGAATGTTACTTTTGTAATTATGAGCGTGCCAGTAAGGATTAATCAGTCCTTACAGAATTGTAATTGCCAAACAATTATTCAGACGATTATGTTATAGTTCTTTCGGCCTCAATAAAGAGGACTTTTACTGGTGGCTTACTAGTAATTTGACTTCAGAGAACTTGAGCATAAGAACAGTTAAATAAACTGAAGCATTTTATTAGTATGAAAAACTTACAATGATCTGAGTTCCGTAGAGAATTACAGCAGTAATATACTCGAAAACTACTCCTACAAATGAAGTGCAGCGCAGGAACTTAAAGTACAGAAATATAAAGGACAGGAAATAACACTGGAATATGTAAAGTAATTCTTTAGATCTTTTCTTCCTCCCTTCTCTGAAGTCCTTCCTGCTATTTATACTTTTCGAAGATAACCATCGAATTGTACTTCAAACCGTCGAACTGCTCCTCCGTAGTCGTTGATCATGCTACCTTATAAGTAGCTCCACTATGCCTTCACTTGCAGTTAGGCTTCCCCCTTATATTCGAATTTGAATGTGAGCAACCGTTGAAGCCACGTCACTGTACGTCTCTTTGTTGATCCGCTACTACTCAGATCTTATAACAACCAATATTAATTGCCACGTGTCTGATCAGGATCGAAGACCTACCTGGTCTCCCCATATTACCCTCACTTTGCCACGCGTCGAATTGTCACTGACTAGCACAAAATGTGTAGCCAACACATATATATATAAATCTTTTAACAAAATTAAAATTTTTAAGTGACAAAATATATGAATTTTGTTATAAAACATAAAAGGAAAAAAAAAAGGCGAGGTATTAAAATTTAAGAAAATAATTAAAATCTTAAAGGAGTGAATTATTAAAAAATATAAAAAAGGCACAAATCCCTCTCAACTCTTTGTGTTACCGATTCTATCATTGTAAAATAAAATTTATTATTAATTAATGATATCATCACACAGCATCACAATTTACTCTTCTCGAATATTCTTTCAACGAGAGGACACACACGTGGGCGTTTCAATGTCCATAAAAAATACAACAATGGTGTCCAAAGATGAGATGACATAGAAAATTACACAATGGTTTTTGTGCAAATCTATATGACACTCTAATTAGTTTTTAATTGGTTGAAATAGTAGAGTTTTAAAAGGAAAAGACTAGTAAAACAGAAGATTTTAAATACAAAATACATAAATGTGAAATAAAAAAAAAATGCTCGTTCACAAATACAAATGTGAATTTTTTATTTTTATTTTTTTTTATCTCAAATCTATGTGTTCTATTATATTCCGAGCATAACCAATTCCAAAACTACTAAACAACGTCTCATATCATACCTTCTCCCACTGATATTGAGGAAAAAGTTGACAAACATATCCCTCATGAGATCATTTCGTAACGAAAAGTCCACTAATTATTACTCCGAAAGCGACTTTTTCTGAAGCTATTCACGTCAAAGCTAAGACGTTTTTTACTTTATTCATTTTGAATTGCATGTGCATAAACCCACAAAGAAATGATAAAATTATCCGATGATTGTATTTCTCCTAATTCGATTTTAATTAAAAAAAAAACTTTGGCGAAGCATGGATAGGGTAGGATAAATTAGGGGCATGAAGAATAAAATTGTTAGGATTAAAGTACATAATGAAATTGCATGAATAAAATAATTAAGTTTCAAATTACGAATTTGCACACGAAATCTAAAAAACCCGCCTTGTTGTAATATTTTAAGTAACTTTATTTAGATAAATATAAGGGAGTTTTTTTGATAAATTCACTTTCTAAGAGATTTATTCCATCCAATCCATATTCTTTTTTACTATTCCATTAGGTCCTATTTGAGATAAGAAGACCAAAATATCCTTTTTATCTACTTATTTTCCATTTAGCTCACATTATTTTCTTATGTTTCAATAAGTCCTATGGGTGACATAATTACCAAAATACCCCTAATGTGAATGTTCACACCATCAATGTGAATGTTCATATCGTCAATGTGTAGAGGCCTGGCCCATGTCGATCCTCATGGGTGCCGAAAAAATTCGAGTCAGGCCGGGGCGGGCTCGACCCATTGACAATGTGAATATTCACATTGACATGTTAACATTCACATTAATAGGAGTGTAAAATTGGCCCGCGTCCCGTGGCGGCGCAAAACCCGCCCACGGCCCATAGGCGGCCCGGTCCGGCCCGTTGACAATGTGAATATTCACATTGACATGTTAAAATTTACATTGATAAGAGTACAAAATTGGCCCGCGGCCCATGGGCGCCCAAAAGCCCGCCCGCGACTTGGGGCGGGCCCGGCCCGTTGACAATGTGAATATTCACATTGACATGTTAACATTTACATTGATAGGAGTGTAAAATTAACCCGCGCCTCGTGGCTGCCCGAAACTCGCCCACAGCCCGTGGGTGGCCTGGGGTGGGCCTGGCCCGGCCTGTTGACAATGTGAATATTCACATTGACAAGAGTATAAAATTGGCTAGCGGCCTAGGGCGGGCCCGACCCGGCCCGTTGACAATGTGAATATTCACATTAACATGTTAACATTCACATTGATAAGAGTGTAATATTGGCCAGTAGCCCGTGGGCGGCCCGAAGGCCGACCGCAGCCTGAGGCGGGCTTGGCCCGACCCGTGACAATGTGAATATTCACATTGACATGTTAAGATTAACATTGATAGGAGTGTAAAATTTGTCCGCTGCCCGAAGCTTGCCCGCAGCCCGAGGTAGGCCCGGCCCGGCCTGTTGACAATGTAAATATTCACATTGACATGTTAACATGCACATTGATAAGAATGTAGAATTGGCCTGCGGCCCGTGGGCTGCCCGAAACCCACCCACGGCCCGAGGTAGGGTCGTTTGGGTCCGGGCTCAAGCATGTTCGAGACCCTAGGCTAGGGCCTAGGCTATCACTTTGAAGCCTGGCCCGGCCCATCAACTCGCTTAAGGCCCATTCAAGGTTCGGTCCGAGGCCCAGCCCGTCCGAGGCATAATGTCTTTTTTTGTGGAAAATAATAAAATTTTGGTAAAAAAAATTAAAAAGAATTTAAAAAAAATGGCCGGCCCGCCCAAGCCCAACCTAAGCTCGAGGCTAAGCCTAGACCCACCGGCCCGACCTGTGGCTCGATCCATCGGCCCGTCCAAATCCCGAATACCCTTATGCCAGGGCTAGGGCCTGGGCCTAATTTTTTGGCCCGTGGCCCAGGCCAGGCCTGCTCGGATTTTTTTGGACACCCACGAGGCTCGATATGGGCCGACT